CCGTTGTTACCCGCAGTGTCAAGGAAGACCGAGAGAGGCGCTGTGGTTTCATCATACCGGAAGTGTCTCCTTTCTTTTCCTTTGGTTTGAACTTTGACCTGCGGCTCCGCATGTTGATGGGCCACTGTAAACCAACGTGGATGGGAAAACATAAGTGTTTTTTCATTTAATTTCTTCGCTCACAAAACTTAACCATCTCATGTTTTAGCGGTTTGGATTTTCGGAGTAGACCGCTCGGCGCCTACAAAGGTAAAGGCTTAAAAATAACTACGGCAAGCCTCGTCCTGTGTTTAAACCTCGTATGGCATAATTGCTATTATGTGTCCAAACCTAGATTATGTTAACTAAAAATCCTAGTTGCTTATTTTTTTGATTTACTTGTTGCATTCATTTGTTGAAATGATTTAACACATGTAAAATGTAAAAGTAACTTTTACCTGTACATGTAAAAGTTAGATTTTCTGCCACGAATTTCACTGAATAGTACACACATTATTTCTCCACATATCACTTATTACCGAGGCTTACTTAAAAACCGTATTACCGAGGCTTACTTAAAAAAAAAAACAACTGAAAAGCATTATTCATATTTTATGTAATATAAAATTCTGTCAGTTTCCCACCCTAAGAATCTCTAACACAACAGATGTCATCCGTAATCTGATGAAATTCAGTGAAATGCTCTTTTTCTGATCACATAGAAAAGGGGAAATGGCTGACGTAATAAATGTACTGCATATGGAACACGGCTCGTTGTAAATCCTTCTGCCTTTTTTAATCTTTGTCTCTGACACAGATGGGAAAAGTACCAAAGAAGAAGAACCTCGCAGACAAGGTCCGCAAGGCCAAAACCTCCACTGAGATCAAAAACAACCCGTTTGAGGTGAAAATTAACAGGAAGAAGTTTGATGTTCTGGGACGAAAAACCAAGCATGATGTGGGTCTGCCTGGTGTATCTCGATCCAAGGCCATTAATAAGGTAAGACAACTCTCATGGTGCCACCTCCACCACATTGTCCTTGCTCTGCAGGGCATCAGTGCAATCATTTTACACATAAAAAACATTTTCACTGTTATAATTTTTTTTTTTTAATTTAATTTGTTGTTGTAACATTGAAGACACATTCTCCCAAGAGCTAAATGAGGAGAGTTTTAAAAAAAATTAAATCCTCCAAGATGTTTATTAGCACAAGAATGTGAAAGGAAAGTTATTGGTAATAAAATGACATGGGATTCTGTGTTATGTTGCTGTTACAAAGTCTACTGTAAATCAATGAAAGATGGGTTTCTGGCAGCAGTGTGTCACAGCTCAGCACTTATTTGCCAGTGTCTGTGCTGTGAAGCTCTGAATTTACAGCATCATGCTGTGTTAGAGATTATGTCCAGGCTGGACTGAGACTTATGTAAGGACAAGAACACTCTGCTCACAAGAGTCAACTTTTCTTCAGTGGTATAAAAAAACATCTTTATCTTTGACTTCTAGAGGAAAGAGACCCTTCTGAAGGAATTCAAACAGAAGAACAAATCCAGCAAGTTCATTGACAGGCGCTTTGGAGAGTATGACACCAAGATGGCGCCGGAAGACAAAATCCTGAAGAGATTTGCCATGGAGAGACAGGTCAGGAATGTGGTCATTGGCCCTAGAAGAATTGTTTTTGTTGTTCATCACCTTGTCAACGTTGTATTTCTGACTGTATTTGTCTTCATCTTCCAGCGTGTCCACGAGAAGAAGGACATGTACAACCTGAATGAGGAGGAGGAGTTGACTCATTACGGACAATCACTGGCTGAAATGGAGAAATTCACTGACGCTGTTAATAGCGATGATGAGTCAGAGGAGAAAGGCCTTCTGTCTGGTGAGTGGTGCTAAGGTTAGCTTGTTGCTAACAAGCTTTAAACTCAGTTTTGCGTTTAAAAGTATTCTTATGAACTCGTTAAGCTGTGAACATAAAGGGTGAGCACGTTTTTCTCCTTTCCACAGCTGAGCTGACGGCCTCCCACTTTGGGGGAGGAGGAGGTCTCCTTAGGAGGAAAACAGGAGATAAGTCTGAGGAGGAAGGAAACCAAAGGGCCAAGTCCAGACAGGAGCTGATTGAGGAGCTCATCCAGAAGTCCAAGCAGGAGAAGGTGAGTGAGTGAGTGAGTGAGGAGGAGCAGGAGCGTGCTGATCCAAGCAGGAGAAGGTGAGTGAGGAGGAGCAGGAGCGTGCTGTGGCTGTTTGGAACTCCTGGTTCTACATTTAAAAACATGTCGTTCTGTGTCATTTTCCCTTCATTTATTTGTTATTGTTCAGATTTTGTTATGGTCCAGATGTTAATGGTTTACCTTTTTCTTCTCAGCGTGAACGGCAGGCTCAGAAAGAGGAGTCTCAGGTGCTGACAGAGAAGCTGGACCAGGAGTGGAAGAACATCCAGGCCCTAATAGTGAAGAAGACACCCAAGGCTGACAAACCAGAGGAAAAGCCCAAGGTAGGGTGGTTACAGTGGACCAGAAGACTGTCCACGGTGTCCGTCCATCTAATTGAAGTCTGACTATTCTTTGACCTCCAGCTGGACGAATATGACATGAGGGTCAGAGAGCTGGGCTTTGAGATGAAGGCTCAGCCCTCAGAGAAGATGAAGACCCCAGAGCAGCTGGCCAGGGAGGAGAGGGAGAAGCTGCAGAAACTAGAGGTACTTTCATGGTCTGCAGTTCTAAATGTACAACACATTTATCTTCAGTGGAAACTTCGTCTTCATCCTCTTAGATCCTGGATTTAAAAAATGTTTTTTCTCTAGGCGGACCGGCTGAGGAGGATGATGGGAGATGAGGCTGTTGACAGCGCACCGACTCGGAATCACATTTCTGCTGATGATCTTAATGATGGTTTCATCCTGGATAAAAACGACAAGAAGACATTGTCCTATAAGGTATTAGACAGTATTTTGAGTATTTGTTTTCTAGTAATTCTTTGATAAATATTTGGGTTTTCACCTAAAACCTAAATGTTTGTTTCTTCTGTAACGTTAGGATGGAAAGTGGAACATCGGAGAAGAGGAAGGTGGTGATGATGAAGAAGAGGGGGAGAATGGTGAGGAGGCAGAATTAGAAGCAGAAGAGGAGGATGAAGATGAGGAAGGAGAAGAAGAAGAGGAAGAAGGCGAATTGGAGGATGAAGGAGATGAGGAGGAAGAAGGGAGTGAATTGGAGGAAGAAGGAGATGAGGAGGAGGAGGAGGGGGGTAGTGAGGCAGATGGCCACTCTGACCTGGACTCTGATCAGGAAAGTGAAGATGAGGGAAAAGTACAGAAGGACGAAGAGGAGGATGGTGCTAAATCAAAGAGTCTGACCAAGGAGGAGGTGAAGGCTCAGCAGGAGGCTGCCAAAGCAGAGCTCCCCTACACGTTCACTGGTGAATACAACGTTAAACATGTTTTGTTTTGTTTTTTTAAATATTCGTTTCATAGAAAGTTTATATTTTTCTGTTAGCTTCAGTATTCATCTTGTCCTCTGGACTTCTCCAGCTCCAGAGAGCTACAATGACCTGAAAGATCTGCTCAGTGGCCACACCTCTGACAACCAGCGCCTCATTGTGGCCAGAACTCAGAAGTGCAACCACCCCAGCCTGGCTGTAGGGAATAAGCTCAAACTGCAGGTACAGTATGAAGCTGGCCTTAGGCTTTTAAAGACTTGTTTTTGTCAGAGTTGTGAAAACAGTGTGAAAATATCTTCATGTGTTTCTATAGAAACTGTTTGGTTTTCTGTTGGAGTACATTGGAGAACTGGCCACTAGAAGTCCACCTGAGCTGAGGACCATCGATAAACTCATCCCGTGGGTTATTTTGAATCTACAGTAGTGTTCTTAAAGTCTTAGTTTGTTGTTGTTGTTACAATTTACTCTGTAAAAAACAAAAAATATAATGACAGCTGTAGAAGACTGAAGGTAATGAATCTGAATTTTACGTGGAATCTGGGTTGGTTTGTCAAGAGAAGAGAAGAGCAAGTTTAGAGAAGAAGTTTAAAACCTTGAAGAGGTTTTCATCTCATTATTTTTCCCGTTGTTTCTGTCCCTTTGCAGAGAGCTGTACGCCCTGTGTCAGATGTTTCCAGAAGCAGCCTGTAAAGCCATGCAGACCGTCCTGGCAGATGATGCTCACAGCATGGAGGAGGTGCTTGAGGTCAAAGGGCGAATCCCTTTCCCATCCTTAGAAATGGTGAGATTATTTATTATTTAAAAAACTAATGGCTCTAAATATGTCTTGTTGTGATGACTTGATAAATCAGTCATCATTATGAGAGTATGTTTGGGCGTGTTATTAAAACTAAAATATGTAAATGTAATGTTTAGTATTTGCTGGTGTCGTCAGTCTAACACTGAACTTCCTGTCCATCTGAAAACCAGTGTGGGACATTCTTTCTTCTTTTTAATGACAGAGTTCCATAACCTGTGTGTGTTTGTTGTTTCCAGCTGATTTACCTGAAGGTGACGGCGCTGCTGTTTCCAACCTCTGACTTCAGACACCCAGTCACTACTCCAGCTCTGCTCTACATCAGCCAGGCTCTCACTAAGGTAACTCACAGAAACAGAAATATACTGTACAACCAGACCAAATAACACAGCAGCCATGGTGATGTAATTTAATCAGATACATTGACTAAGAAATGCTGCAGGGTTTTCTTATCAGACAGATTCCAGTCTCCACAGACTCTCCTCACGTGGCGCTATTAGCATATGAGCTAACAACAGCTAATTGATGCGTCAACGTTGGGCGACAGCACCACTGTCACTGAGCTAAATATGTTTAAAGCTTAATTATTTTTAAACACAAGAGTTGACAGAGCTGTACAATTTCATTTCTGCAAAGCTTTAAGAAGCATTTGAACTTTGTTTGTTAACAGATTTGGACTTTGTTTATGGTTGTAATAACCTTATATATGTATTATGTAAATGTAAAGTTAGCCTTTGTTAATATCTATTATTCTTAATGTTCCTTTTCACGAGTTTACAGCGACAGATGAAACAGTCATATTAAAAATTGTACATTTTATTTTCATTAGTTATATTTTATTTATTTATTTTTTAACATATTTGTGTCCTTTATATATTTGTTTAACAAAGACAAGTGCATCCTGTACAATACTGTACTTGACATTTTATATATATTTTTTTATAAAATTCTTTACATATTTCATGTCAGGCACTACATTTTAATTTAACATTTCATGCTACATGTACAATTTCTTTCACATGGACGTCATGTACATCCAGCAGCGGACTATAGTCTAATACCTTTTCTAAACAAAATAATTTTCACCAAAAATACCTCCAAAAATATTTGTCAATGCCTTTGATATCTGGGGAAATTCTTCTTAAATAGTTTTTTATCTGCGTATATGTCTGCATTACATGTTTAAATATTATTAATATTTTATGTAATTCTTTCCAGATTTTCTTTTATATTTTGGCATACATTATGTTTACAACATTATTTTTCATTTTTTTTAATTGCTTTTTTTTTTTTTCACTACGCCATGATTTCAGCTCTGTGTTTGTCTTTTGTCTTTGTCCGACCTCAGTGTCCAGTGAGATCCTTACAGGACGTCACGTCTGGTTTACTGCTGTGCTGTCTGGCCGTGGAGTATGTCTCGTTTTCAAAGCGCTTTGTACCCGAGCTCATCAACTTCCTGGCTGGAACTCTCCATCTGGCTGTGAAGGACAAGACCTCTCTAGGTAACTGCACATTTTCTCAAGACCGCCATGTTTTTGTCAGCAGCTACGTTCCTAACGCAAAGCTGATCTGACTGACCTCTACTCTCCGTCACAGGTTACACCGTGGCGCCGCCCTTCAGGTCGTCAGGGAAGAACTGTGACCTGCTGCTGGTGTCTGATGCTGAATCATCTCAGAACTGGAGCAAAAAACAACTGCGTCTGTCTGATACACAACATCTAGAGCTCAGGACTGACCTTGACAGAGATCATCACAGGTAGGTGGCTGTAGTAACATACACTGATCTGATTCACCGAGAAAGCATCACTGTCCGTTTCGCTGTTTATATACAACAGATACATGTTACACTGAGTTTTTTTCTTCCCATTCCATAGACATGTGACAAACGTTTTCATTTATTAATATTATTTTTTTGTCCAAGTCACTCGTAACTTGGAAAACTTGTATTTCAGGTAGCTAGTATCTTGATACTTATTTACATATATGTAAAGGGATCATAAATGAGGCTTGAACCAATCAGGTAGTGGCTCCGTATGGACTAAAGGTCAAATAAAGTTTTTTTTTTATGGTTGATTTTTTTTTTTTTTTCATACCTGTTGACTTGACTTGTTTACTCGTAACTTGGAAAACTCATATTTTGGGGGAGCTCATGTCTTGAAGCCCCTCTGTATGTTGTAGCTGTTGTAGATGGGGCACAAACTGACAGACTCACTTTCAAGAAGCAAGTGCTCCTTTATTAGGCAACTTATGACACCTCTCACACCTCATCTTTATGGGTGTGAAATGTGTCAAATTAATCAGTGGTTAGGATTGAGCTTTAAACGCTGTATATCATACCATTACAGGCACAGTAGGATGTTTTTCTCATGTGTGGTGTAACTCAGGGTAAATGTCAAAGAAGTGAAACTGCTGCATTAATATGTGTGGTCGAAGGACTTGATTTCTTTTTTCTGTCAGTAAATTAACACGCAGCACTGAAGCCTGTACCTGTTTCGGAGTTGACTCGTCGGTTTGTGAGGAGTCGCCTTCCTGCTTTCACACAGCAGCTGGTGCGTGGGCTCGGAGCGAGTCTTCCAAACAGGCTTCAGTGAACCATGGAGGACCACAGTGTTTCACTTCATTCAGTCTCTATTTGTTGAATATTAATGATAATATTAATACAAGACGTCGTATAACACTTCCATCACAGCTAACATTGACTGTTAAATAATGATCATCATTTCTTGTTGGGGCATGTGGAGATACGTGTCCTCTTTCCTTCCACCTGGGACCTGGGAGTTTTCTTAATGTTCTCATTTTCACGCTCCTCCAGGCCACACTCTGACACCCGCTCTCAGCAGTTGTGTGTGAACACAGTGTTAGCTGTTGGTAATTACTACCCTGGTGATGCTGCGGAGCCTTGGGGCGAGGGCACTGCTGTAGAAGTGTGTGTGTGTGTGTGTTAACATGTCAAGATGATCACATGACATTTCACCCAGCTCTGTGGAAATCATCATTTACCAACGATTCAAAGTTGAAGTCAAAACTGAGGCCGATTTAATCCGTAGGACGATTGATTTTCAGACTCAGATATTCACAGCAGCGTTCATATCAGGGGACTGACGTTCCATGATGCAAGATTTACTCATCGTAAGCAAGCGTTTAGCATCATTCGTCTGCTGTTAGGGATGCCACAGGCAGGGAAATGTTGACCTGCCTCTCTGTTGGTACGTACTGCAATAGTTGTGGAATTTTAAATGAGTCCAAAACTTCTTTATTTTATTTTTATTTTTTTGCCATTTATAAATTTAAGTAAATGTTTTTTGTTTTTGTTTTTTAAATTCAGTGTTGAAATGTGAACACCATAATCTAAATATCCTCTGGATTCTTTAGTTTTAGATGTTTATGAACCACATGAGAAGTCAGGTATATAAAAAAAAAAAACCACCAAAAAAAAGACTTGATTTTATATTTAGTCCATAGGGAGCCACTACCTGATTGGTTCAAGCCTAATTTATGATCCTTTTACACATGTAAATAAGTACAGTGGGGCTTCAAGATATGAGCTCCCAGAAATTCGAGTTTTCCAAGTTACAAATAACCAACTTTTGCAAGATTTACCTCGTGATACGAGGAAACAGTGTTCAGAGTGTTCAACAGAGCTCCATGTTTGCAAGATTTACCTCGTGTTCAGAGTGTTCAACAGAGCTCCATTTTTCTGTTTTCTGAGACAATAACAAAGGAAATGAGAGCATGAACTGATGTCTCTGCTCCTCCACAGGTTGATGTGTTTGTCTACCAGCCTGGACCTGGTGAAGCGCTGCTGTCTACTGTACAAAGAGCTCCCATCCTTTCCACACATCTTCCAACCAATCAGAACACTGCTTTCCAAACACCTTTCATCTCAAATGTTACCAGAGTCTCTGCAGGTTGGTATCCATCAGAGTTCTCATTTCTAACTGCTAACAACAACATTAGACTGTTTTTGTTAAAAAAAGAATGGTTGTTTTTGTGTCAGGAGCTCCACAGTTCCATCCTGGAGAACATCAGCAGTTCCTCCGTTCCTAACAACCGACTGGTGTTTGAGAAGAAGAAACCAATCCCTCTGAAGCTGTTCACACCCAAGATAGTCGAAGTGTAAGCTGTGCGTCGGGCTGTGTGTAAACACACGGTGTGTGTGTGTTTGAGATATCTGACCAGCCTCTGTGACACTCCTCAGGTTGGACTACGGCAAGAAGCGAGGCTGCAGCAAAGAGGAGCGGGACAAGGAGCGACTCAAACACAAGTACAAGAAGGAGTTCAAGGGAGCTTTGAGGGAGATCAGGAAGGACTCACGATTCCTGGCCAGAGAGAAGCTCAGTGAGGTCATGAACAGGTACGGATGAAAGAGTGGAGCTATAACGATGCCGACATCAAATGAATTCAAAAGAAATTATTGACCTGGTATTAGCCAAGTCTAATGAGTACATACTGTAGTACTGCAGTACTACAACTGATCTCTCCACTAGCCCAGGTACCACCAGTGGTTTTTGCAAGCTGTGAATCTTTGTTTTTCTACTTTTTGTCTTACAGAGACTCAGACCGGAAGAGGAAGGTGAAGGAGCTGATGGGCAGCCTGGCCACTCAGGAGGGAGAGTGGAAGGCTCTGAAGAGGAAGAAGAGGAAGTGAAGAGGGAACGAGGGAGAATTCAATTCTCATTGTTCTTCTCCTTTGAACTTCTGGTGTGGATAAAAAAGCAAAAGAACTCTGAACTGTGTAGGTTCCTTTTCATATTCAACGATACTTCAACATTTCACACATTTTATACCGTTTGAGAATGAGCTAGGATCATGATGGAGATCAAGTTTTTAAATTTCCTGCTGTTTTTTTTTTTAAATAAGTAAAAGAAAAACCAGTGAATTCTGAGCTTTGAAGTCCATCACTCCATCGTGTCTTGGTGTCTTATCAAAGGTTTCTCTATCGTTCTGCAGTTTTTTTTTTCCAGAAACAGAAAAATAAACTGTCATCAGCAAACATGTTGATCTGAGCTGCCTCTCGGTAAAACCCTCTGCCCAGACCAACTGGTCCAGGGGGTTAGCTTGACCTCAGAAAGCAGTGCATTTGTCTTACATCCAGGGGGTTGTGGGATCGATTCCACATATTTTCTATGTCATCAGGCTAGAGAAGTACAAGTACAGACTGTTAATCAGAGATATCTGTGAATTTACGGCTCGCTCGTGGTTCGCCACCCAGATGTTTTCTCTTTTTTTTTAAATGACAGTCTCTTCTGGAGTTTGGTGTTGTTGAACGTGACCGTTTGGTTTTTGACATTTTCTCTAAACACTTGAGGAAAAGGTCTGCAAAGATTAAAGATTATCAGGAGTATGTAAACAATGTATGCAGCTGGTTGAAGACCAGGACAGTGCCTAGTACCTAGACAGTCCAGTATGTGATCTAGACCCGTCTCCTCTTCCACTCTCAGGACCAGTGCCTAGTACCTAGACAGTCCAGTGTGGGATCTAGACCCGTCTCCTCTTCCACTCTTTGTCCTGTTCATTGATGGACTAACTGCGTCACTAGATTTTGGGATTACTTCCTGGTATAAAACCTGTAACAAAACTTCAATATTTTTAAAATGGTTTCCTGTTTAATTTTGGTGAAAGATTTCATGTTTGCTTTGATTTATTGTATTTCAGTCATTGACAACAAAAACAGTTTGAACTTATAAATCCTGCCTTGGAACTTTTTGACTCACTCAGGTATATGAGATTATAAAGATTATATTTGGTTAATCGTCTGATAATAGTGTTGCCCACAGGCCTCTGCTTGTGCTTTAGTTTTCCAAACTAGGGATTTCCGATATTAACTTTTTGCCGATATTGTCCAAACACTTAATTTCCGATTCCGATATCAACCAATACAGATATAGACCTGGTAATATTTATTTATCTCTACAAACCACTGTACGTGTATCAGATTAATAAAGTGAGCTGCAATGCTGCCATCTAGTGACCTGCACTCTAATATACAGCTGTTTATTCCCAAAACTATTTTTAGGGCAGACATCATTTGGTGAAACCCAGGCATTGCATTATTGGCTTTTCATTATCGGAGGAAAAACCAATAACGATTCTTACAGATATTTCATAATATGCTAATATCGACCAATAATATCGGCCGACCGATATTATCAACCCATTTGATATTGGACCGATAATATTCCTAACATATGAAGTTGTTTGTTGTAACAAAAGCATATAGTGTTATTTTTCTTCAATCTGAAGTCCGTCTTTGTAAAGATAAAAATCAACATCAGTCCAAATAATAATAATAATTCATTTTTTATTCAACACAGGGATTAAGTACAGTTCACTCTCGTGAACTCTCGCTCTTGTTCTTCATTAATCCCTCAGGAGGAGATTTGAATGTGTAATTTCAATAGCAGCAATAACTTAAATACAGATGCACAGAAAGCTCAACAGGTCAATGTTTCACTGCAGAAAACTGACGGTTCACAGACAAAAATATAGAATGTCTGTCATTGTCACTGGGACACTGTATTCATACTGAGACACGGAGAGAGACTGCCATATAATTCCATGTTAGAGTTACTGACCACGGAGACGACACACACACTCACACACACACATTGACAGGTGGCCTTTAGGAGGAGGGAGTCATCGTGAATATCAACTTGACACAGATGACACACACCTGAGATTCCTGTAAGGACTGAAACACACACACACACGACATCAGCTCCTTTTACTTACACTGCTTACACATATAGTGCTGTACAGACGCACACACACACACGGACACACACAGATGGCGACCAAACGAGGCACGACGGGACTTGGCAGAGCGACATGGAATGTTTTCGTTCATTGGTCTTTGATTGAGAAGCTCGGGGTGAGATTAGTCGTCAGAGTCGTCCTGAGAGAGGAGAGAGAAAAACAAACTGGGCTGTGAACCAACAACGCAGTACATTTAAATGAAGTACCACTCAGTATTTACTGTCAAAGTTTCCGTGTTTTTGTGTTTCCTCCTCCCAGTATTTTATCTTTTAATTACTACAGTACTTCTATCCAAGTGCGTGTTACACGTAACAATCCTTCTTGTTCCACTACTTAAATCCTTAGAGCAGACCAGGATAAACTATGGCCCGTGGGCCAGATACGGCCCGCTGGGCTGTCTAATCCCGGCCGCCAAATGTTGGTACGAGGTACGGTAAAGACTGACGTCAATCCTTCTGTTTCATGCATTACAACAAATCGGCTGTAATTTCTGTTGATGCCACTAGGTGGCGGCAGATAAACTGTGCCAGATTACCTTTAAACTTTTTTTTTGTCTAAAGAGCCTAAAGATTGGGCTCAGGAGCAATAGTAAGAGGTCAAGTGGTTTGACGAGTCCAAGTTTTCCCTGTTCTAAGGTTATTACCCATAATACTCTACGTATACTGTGTACTATCTGTATACTAACTAGTACTGTTTGTCGTCCTACCTCTGTGGCATCAGGAGTGTCGGTGTCCACCGGTGACTCTGCCAAGTTCAGTGCTGCAGAAGCATCGTCACCCTGGAATGAAGACAGAGCAGTGGAGTCACATGACCAGTGGAGGTCAATGCTAGCTTTTTCTTTTTGTTACACTTTTTGCCATTTTCTAATACATCCTGGTACTTTTTGCTTTATTCTCTGATTGTTTTACACATTTTAAATCTAATATTTTCTTATTTGGTGTGTTTAATTTTTCATTTCAACTTTTCATTTTCCTAGTTTAATGTTTACTGTGATGGCTAGTTGCTAACATTTTAGCTTTTCTATGCTAGCTTTTACTTTTTATAAGGCTCACTTGTCTTTTTGAACAACTTTTAGAATAGCATTTTCTTTTGGATTTTTTTTTAAAAAAGGTTAAATCTGGGATAACTGACTTTTTTGTGCTCTATTTTTATAAAATGGTTATGTTAGCATCTAAAATACAAGAGCTAAAATTAGCTGTTTGTGTTTCTCAGACTAATGTTCCAAATTCTAAGAGGGCAATAACGGCACCACACTTTAGAATTTCAAGGGCAAATATGGATTTTTTTGTGTAGTTTATATGCAGCAACCAAAGCAAAGTTCAAACCCTTGTGTGATGTGTGTAGCTGCAGGACGTTGATTCTGGTTTGTCGATGTCACGGCCTTTAGGAACAGTCGCACAGACACAGACTCATATCTGACTCCTGCTCTCCCCATCACACGGTAAAGGCCACTTGTATTTGTTCTAGCACAGACGATGTGTGTGTGAGAGTGTGTGTTGGTCAGTGTGAGTGCGTGGGCAGCTGAGACGGAGACAAGACAGAAAGTGCTAATGAAGAAGAACGCTGCCGCGGGGCCGTCCCTCTCTTTGAGCTCCACACATGTTTTGATTACCGTGCGCCTTGACCTTTGTTGATGGCGAGTGGTGACAGTGCACTGACTTTCGAGTGTGTGTGTGTGTGTGTGTGAGACTCTCACTGACATATCTTTACCACGTCTGTTGCATTTTAAGAGCTCCGTCTTTTCGACCATGTCTATGACGAACGGCAACATTTTTTATTATTTTCACTGTGGTCAGATCAAAAGACGAGCTAAAATGAAAGAACGGAAAAGGAAAATTCTTCGTCCACAGACTCTCTGTCTCTTTATCGTTCAGCCACACAAACGACACCGGACTAAGACACGACTGTTGTCGTGTGCTCCCTTCTACCGTCCTGTCTTTTGTCTCCTGGTGTGAGTCTCCAGCAGCCTGGCGAAGTGAACAGATGATGAGATTAATCAAGACTCAGTCTCCTGCTATCCACCGTCAACTGGAGTACGTGGGCGTGTGTGTGTGTGTAAGTGTGTGTGTTACAGGACACAGGAGACCGTCTAAGATGAGCTCTCTCAACCTGGCATGATTCTTAAATGAAACCCACGTTAAAAATAATATTTAAATGACCTGGAAATGAGAAAATGAGGACGATGTGCAGTGCCGTGCTCGTCGGTCTCACCGGGAACGCCGGGATTTTTTGTCAGTTGGTCAACACCTCGGGAGTGTGAGAGCTGACTTCCTGTTTGTTCAACTGTTTGTGACAAATCAAGTTTGTCCTGTTACTGGATTTTATAATGAAGTGGGTTATTTCCCAGGTGAGGCGGCGTCACACCAAAAACTGTAGTGTTTTTGTCGACTGAAATGACACGACTGCAGGGTTTGTGTCAAAGAAATGAAATCTCTGGGATGGGATTTCTGTGATCTGTCATTGACCTTTTCTTGTGTTTCTGTTGTCTGAGAATTGACTCCAAAAAAAGGCAATAATGCAACGTTTTCAAAGCTAACCATGGTTTGTCCTGGGGTAGATGTGTGTGTGTGTGTGTGTTACTAATGGCTGACAGTATAAAATGTTGAGGATTCCCTAGTGTTTCTTTGATAATTAAGGGATTAAAAATGACGATGATGGCAACCGACATGAAACAAACCAAAGGAAACGTTAGATCGACTCATTTCCTGCTGCTCTGGGCAGAGAGAGAAAAAAACGGTGAGCACAGGATCTCAAATGACAGCAGATTTTTATCACTTCCTTATTGTGGAAATTGATCAGTGGAGGAGAATATTAGCCCTGAAAAACAGTAACTGTTTTAATGAGGTGCAAATATCCATCCATCTGGAATCGCTTAATTATTTTCAGAGTAAAAAAAAAAAAAGAGCTATTTTTTTTTTTTGATAAATGACCGAAATCCCTAAAAACATATGTGGGAATTACAAAGAAAATGTATTACAGAAAAACTCTTCAGCATCGCAGTAAATGGATGTGTCTGGATGCTCTGTTCACACAAACTGATTGATGAGCCGTAGCCTCAGCTGTAACCACTGTTCACTTATTGGAGGAAGACACGGCAGAATTGGAAAGTGTTGACAAATGAGTCCAGGTCAGGAGGTCGTAGTGACAACGCTGAAGGATTACACGTGTTTTGAAACATTTCCTGAAAAATGAGTAATTACTGCGCTGTATTATTATTATTATTATATTTTAATTTTCCTCTTCTTCTGTTTCTTTTTTAAAATTGCATAGAGAAATTTCGATAAAATAAGAATTACAGCAGGAAAAAGAACAATGTTTTTCTCCAGTCAGTCCTGTGTGCACGTGTTTATCATTAATACCAATTTATTACTGATTTAAAAAAAAAAAACAACCCAAAAATTTTACAAATGAAAAAAAATTCAACATGACAACCATTGCAGGGTTTCTGTTGAATTTCTGTAGAACGTATCTTAGCATTGACTTTCTGGTTGAGCGTTACCATAGCAACAGTTGACTAACGTGTGAGCTGTTGTCCGTGTGGTTGTAAAAATATAATTTTTACTTTTACTGCTTCACGACTGAATCTGTGTTTTTACAACTAAACGGAACTTTTTCTCTAGTCTCATAAACATATGACTTAAAATGACCATAAATTGTGAGAGTTACAGCCCTCCTTACCCCCTCACCCCTTCAGCAGCACCTGTCTTACCTGCTTGGCGGGCTCCTTCTTGACCAATCCTGTGGCGGCGACGATGTTGCTCGCACCCCCCACGGTTTTCTGGGCCACAGCCGTCACCCCGGTAACCACCGCCTCACCCACCTGAGACACTCCAGACACAGTTTTACCTGCCACTGTGGAGCGGGGGAGGAAGAGAGGAAGATAAGAATGAGAGGAAGCAGAAGGAGCGGGAGAACACAAGAGGGCGTAGTCACACACGGGCGCAACACCTGAGGGGACGAGTACAGCAGGAGTTTCCACAACAGGAAATGACACGTGAGTTTCACTGCACTGTAGTGACTTCTCTTCAGTTGGACGTCAACAGGAAAATACTTATATTAACACGTAGCAAAGGAGCAGTCAGTAAAAACACCGGTTTGGTCTGGTCTTTTAGGACCAAGACAAACCGGGTCATTACCTTTAATGTGATCTGGTTAAGTGAATAACCTGAGGAACAGCCCTGAGGACATCTCCTCTGAAGACAGCCTCCACCTCCTATTGTCTGAGCCACAGAAAATAACTCTCGTTTTGCTGCGGTGACTTCTGTCAGTCTCATACAGTTGTGTAATATAAATATTTACTACTTATATAAACTACATTACTACATAGTATTTTTTTAAAAAATTCTTCTTTCAGCTTTTATTAAACAGGAATTGCTGTGGTGCAGTGGTTCTCAAAGTGGGGGGCATGGAGCGGAGGGAGAGCAGCAGCAATACCCCTAGCTACCAAAGCAAAAGGTTTGGAACACCTCCACCCCCCTCCCCCACCACCGCCATCAACACCATAGTGGATAATTTGCCCTTATTTCCTTTTCTGTTCCTCTTGTGCAGCAGCTCTATCTCGAACATCACCACTGCGTCTCCTTAGTACTGACCCACCATCCTCACCTCTCTAAATCAACCTCCCATCCACTCAACCTCTCCTCTTTTCTAAGTTTCTCCATCCTGCCCCCCCCCCTCCCCCCCCCCCCCCCACCCTCTGCTCCTCTGCTCACTCTTCTTACACCAAATTTGACT